ATTCCCTTAACTTAATCATGTCAATAGAATTTTCAAATGTCAAACAAAGAAGTTGTGAGTCTCGAAGATATAGTCAAAAGTGACCCAGTGTTGAATAAAGACTGTACTTTGTTGAAGGACTCCAAAGAAAGGAGTGGAGCCCTGATTAAGAGGAGGCTATCGAAAGTTTCATAGATATAAGGTATGATGTATTTTGTTCAAGGGGATGATTATTGAAACAAGTAGTCCTAGTCCTCAAAAGTGACTCAAATGTTGAAAAATGGGTGTACTTTGTTCAAGGGCTCCAAAGAAAGAAGTCAAGCCTCAACTAAGGAGAGACTGCTCGCGGGTTTCATAAGGAGTATTTTGTTCAAGGGGAGGATTGTTAATGATTACTGAAACGAGTAGTCCCACATTGGCTAATTAAGAGGAAGATCATGTTTTGGTACGAGGTCTTTTAGGTAAACCAAAAGCCAAAATAGACAATATATATCATACAATACCATTACGAATGTTCGTGGTTCCTAACGAAAAAAATCCACCAAAATCTAGAAAGCTAATGTAGTATCGTAGTACTATTGTCACAGCCATGTGCATATCTTATTTCTTGAGCCCAAGCCCGCTAGCCATGCAAGCCAAAAATGGTCAATTATACATGTGACAAGGCCAAAAGGGCCTAAGAAACAGTCCACCAACCACAGCAACAGCCAAAAAGGCCCGAGATATCGGAACAGCAATAGCCAAGACGATCAAAAGACATACAGAAACAAACTCACCCACCCCCCACGCGTGCACATCCAAAGCAAGCCAACGTGCAATGCAACCCTTTGGAGTCTTGTTAAAAGGTGTCGACAAGTAAGCGCACTAAGGAGTGGAGAAATGGAGCCGCCCCTTGTCTCCTAGCCACTTCAAATGACCTCGGTCTCAAATTAGGGTTTAGGGTTTAGGGTTTTGTAGGGTACGTCTTACTTGATCCATCGAGGGTACACACCATGACAACGACATCTCCTGCCCTAAATCTGTAAGTATAACCTTGTTTGTTCCAGGTGTTACTTCATTTATGGATTTATTTCTGTTTTTTTTTTTTAATAATAATAATTCGAATATTTCATGTACTGTAATTATGAATATTATTGCTGAATTGTCATATATGGATTTTATTTTCTTAGAAGAAAGATTCTCTGGTGTAGCTCTCAATCATAGCTAGCTTGATCTTATATTTCTGAGCTTTGACTAAGTCAAAGGCTGATCTGGATACAAGATTCCCTTTTTTTTTTTTTTTTTTTTTTTTTAATTTTGTAAATAAATGAAGTTAAACATGCCTTAAAATGAATTATTATGATGAAAATATTGAGTGTTCCTTAATTCATGGGGGAAATTCCGTCTCTTAATATGGCTAAAATATGTCATATCGACGTTATAATATATCTATTGATTATTTATTTATTTATGTTGTGTAATATTAATATTTTAATTTCATTTATATTATTATTAAAAAAATAAACAAAAGGTTCACGAGCAACGGTTGCGTTTTTATTGTTGGCAAGTGAATTTGTTTGTTATAAATGATATGTTTATTAATTATTCTATGGTCTGGATAGCACATTTTACATCACATTTTGATTTATATGAAGGCTCACAAATTATATTATATACTAATGTTTTTTTTACTTTAATAATAGTGACAACAAAATATTTCTTATAATAATCTTTTTTTTTACTTTAATGATTGTGAGATCTCACGTTGATTGGTTGATTGGAGGGAATAACAAAACTTCTCAATTTTAAAACTTTGAAAGAAAGTTACAAAAGAAAAACTTGAAAAATGACAGTATTTTTCTAGTGGTAGGTCTTAACTATTATAAGTGGTATCAAAGGTATACATGGAGCGGAGGAAAAACTTGTAAGGGAAAACTCAAAAGGGATAATATCTTCTAGTCGTGAGGTTGAACCGTCGTAAATAGTATCAAAGCTAGACATCGAAACATTTCTTATAAGGGTGTGGAAATCGAGGGGTGTGCTCATGAAGGAAGCCCGTAAGGGAAAACCCACAAAAAAAACTCATAAGGAAAAATTCAAAGAAGATAATATCTTCCATTACAAATAGTATTAGAGAAAACCCACAAAGGAAGTTCGTAAGGAAAAACCAAAAAATGACAATACCTTCCGGTAGGCTTGAATTGTCACCAATGACATTAGAGAAAACTCATGAAAGAAGGCGGTACGGAAAAACCCAAAAAAGACAATATCTTCTAGTAGTGAGAAAACCCACGAAGGAAGTTCGTAAGGAAAAACCAAAAAATGACAATACCTCTCAGTCGCCTTGAATTGTTACCAATGATATCAGAGAAAACTCACGAAGGAAGTCCGTAAGAGAAAACCCAAAAAGGACAATATCTTCTAGTGGTAAGTTTGAACGGTTACAAATGATGTCAAAGCGAGACACCTAATCATTTCTTATAAAGATACGAACCCGGGCAAAAAAGACATCTCTTTCGTGTTTCAGTTGAGTTTGACCCGTGGGCAGCAACCCCTTTCTGAAATGGCGGGTCCACACGTCTTCTTCACTTCTCAAACCCTCTTAATTCAAATACAGATCGTCCACCTCTCCCCCCAAAAAAAAAACCCTAGCTTTCCACCCCTAATGGCTATACCCTTTTTCTCTTTTAGCTTAGCCCATGCTTAGATCTTCCATCTCATTATTAGTACATATCTATTCCAATCTATGCGTTTTCACTTCTTTTTAGACACACCAACCTCACCCTTTTCGCTTCCAACTGAATGACAACTAAAACATTTCCATTTTGATTCCCTCAAACCACCTTCACACATGGATTCCGGCAGCCCAAGTTTGCAATCCTCCAGCGGCGGCGATGAAGATTACGACTCTCATCACGCTTTTCCCCCGCCGCCACCGCCGCCGCCACCACTTTTCTTCAACCCCAATTCCTACCAGACCCACCTCCTCCCCTCCTCCCCTTTCTACGATTTCCCCTCCGATTACACTTTCAACAACCCTTCCAACGCCGGAACATCTGAACCCGCCGCCGCGGAACCCACCCAAAACCAAATCCCAATTCGCTCATCTGGGGTTTTGCATCCCAAAGCCACCACAAAGAAGAGAACTAGAGCCTCACGGAGAGCCCCCACCACCGTTCTCACAACCGACACTACGAATTTCCGTGCTATGGTGCAAGAGTTCACCGGAATCCCTTCCCCGCCGTTTACCGCTGGTGGGTCATCATACTCCCGCCGATTTGATCTCTTCAACTTGGTTAAAACAACCAGCTCCACACCCTCTATTCTAGAAACTTCTGGATCGGGTCTTTACTCTTCTCGTGTGGTAAAGACACAGGCTGCTATCAGGGCTGATTTAGACGCGCCCCACGAAAGTACAAGCCCACTGTTCGTGTCAGCCGCGCTGCAAAATGATGAAACCTGGAGAACCAATAGCAGTGGTACCCCAGGAGGTGAATTTCACCGGTCGTTGCTCCAATAATTTGCAGCGTGACAAAGGGTTGTTCATAATCACGACTCCCCATAATAGTATGATATTGTCTACCTTGTACATAAATTCTAAGTCTCGTATCAATGGAGATGTATTCTAAGGGAGATTTTGAAAAATGGCGCCGACCCACTCCAACTGCAGCTGCCATCTCCGGTCGGAATGGGACCCGCTAAGATTTAAATATTAATATGATGGTCTACTAAAAATCTTTTGATTTAAGCGTTTTTATTGTTCACTTAATTTTGTTGATAACGATGCTTGTTATTATTGATATTGTCTAAGATTCATATCATATGTTTTTAATTTAATCTCTTTTTTCATGAAACGATCGATTTATTTGATGATGAAAAGAAATTGTGTTTTGAATAAAGTATTGAGGAGACATTATCGTGGTCTCCTTCGTGGGTTTCAACCCTAGACTCGAGTGGTTTTGATTATCCCTTCGTGTTCCCCACTACTTCTTAACCTAGCTATTATCATTGTGACATCCTCACGTCTTAAAAAGATTATACATCCAAATCTATTGAGATGTAATCCAAAAAGTGAAGCATCTCATTTTCATAACTTTGAAAAAACGCAATGGCTGACTTTTTCAAGCTTTGGAGAGGAGAATGAAACATTTGTTATAAGGATGTGGAAACCTCTACATAGTAGATGTGTTTTAAAATCGTGAGGCTAATGACGATATGTAACGAGTTAAATTGGAAAATATATGCTAGGGTGAGAGCTTGAGCTGTTACAAATGATATCAAATGTAGGCACTGGGCGGTGTTCCACGGTGGAGAGGGGAACAAAATATTTCTTACAAGGGTGTGATATTTGCAAGCGATGGGTTTGGGTTATTACAAATGGTATTAGAGCCAAGCACCGGACTGTGTTCTAGGGTGGAGAGGGAAACAAAACATTTATTATAAATATGTATTATTTGTTAGTGGTGAACTTGAGCTATTACAAATGGTATTAGAGCCAGACACCAAGGAATGTTCTAGCGAGTACGCTAGGCTTCAAGGGGGTGGATTGTGAGATCCCACCTCAGTTGGAGAGAGGAACAAAACATTTCTCGTAAGGGTGTGGAAAACTCTTCCTAGTAGACCGTGAGATTAATGACATACGTAATAAGTTAAAGTGGACAATATCTGCTAGCGAGGAAGTTGACCGGTTACTTGAGTGGTCCACCTCTAAGAGTTAGCCCAAAAGTAAAGCAGATGTAGGTACTGGTAGTGGGCCGTGAGCCCGGCCCAAAAGTGTCTTGCGGCGTTGTATAGAATAGATCTGTTCACACCTGATAAAAAACCACACATTCCACCAGATTGGCGTGGTGGCGAAGCAACGGATATTCTAATTTTGGTGTATTATGGAATTCGAGACAGCGAGAGACTATATTACTGGATAAGGATAAAAATAATAATAATAATAATAAAAAAAAAATTAAAATAATCTTAGGAATATTCTCTAATGAATTATTTAATGAATTTATTTAACTAAAAAGTATTTATTTTAGGAGATAGGAGGAGGAAAAAGACTAATTAAAGACGAGGGACTGGAACATGCAATTGGAGGGAGGGAATCCAATTGGCATATAAAAGCGGGTGTCAACTACGAATTCTAGCCTAAATTCGCGGGCGCCGAGGGAGGGACCGAGATGAAGTCCGAGACGGTGACATTGATTCTGGTAAACCTCGCCGGAGTAATGGAGAGGGCCGACGAATCTCTGTTACCTGGTGTATACAAAGAGGTCGGTGCCGCCTTGCACACCGGTCCTACTGGTCTCGGTTCCTTGACTCTCTTCAGATCCATCGTTCAGGCCTCTTGCTATCCCTTGGCTGCTTATTTGGCCGTGCGCCATAACCGAGCTCATGTCATTGCTCTCGGCGCTTTCCTCTGGGCCGCCGCTACGTTTCTCGTTGCCGTTTCCTCTACATTCCTTCAGGTTCATCCAATTCTACTCTTGCTCCTGATTTTTTTTTTTTTTTTTTCATTTCATTGTTGTGTAGCCCTAGATAATGCTACGTTCTCCGCCGTTGTTTTGATCTCGCCAATTTTGTTTCCTTCTTTTCGCTTGTTTGTGTATTCGCTTCCGGATATTCTGTTTTATTGCGTACGTATGATAACGAATGGAAGTTTAGGGCTGTTGAACGAATCGATTGAAATACAACGTATTTCTCTTCCTTGTTCGTTCATGAATATTGATGTAGTGATAAAAAATGGAAAGTTGGAATTGTAACGATTAAACGGTCCTGGAACGCGTAAAAATAACAAGCCATATAAATTACTGCTTTACCACGTCAATTTCGCTTTATCCACTTGCTAGAGAAATTTTTTGAAATATTATGAAGTAGATCTCATATGAAGATTTTGAATGAGCGTACTTAATGGTTTTTTTTTTTTTCGTTTTGGTCGAAACCATGAACAGATGTGTTGCCTTGACATTTTTAGTGAGGCGTAATCTTTGCTCAATTCTGGTTGGAAATGTACTTTTCTCTGTAAATTGCATCATTCTTATCAGCGCATGCAAGAATACATTTGCAATTACTTGAAAGCATATAGCAAGGAATGAAATGATGTGAGATCATGAAGAGTCAGAATCGATATTTTTTTCTTGTCACTGAATCACGTGAAATATTAAATCGTTGACTACTTTATCTCTCATTGTGCCACTAAAACTTTGCGACAACGGATCTTGGTAAAATAAGAGATTAGTAAGAAATAGGGGACTGAGAAAGTGATATCGACAATTTTGTTATCAAGTGGGCTTGTTTCGCTCTTTGCGATTTTGTTCCCAGATGTCTATGGGAAATAAAGAAATTGATGCGAAAATCTCAGCACGTTGGCCTTTTATGTGAAACATTAATATATGTTTGAAATGCGTAAACATTTTGGATGATTTGTTGGAAGAGGGAAAGCCTGCGCAGACTTATGGACAATAAATTTTCAATTTCCTTTGGTGTTTAGAAATTGTGTTAAAGTCAACAAAAATTTAGCAAGTTGATTTTTTAGAAGGTTTTAGCTCAATATATTAATGTGTTGCAGATTTACCTATGCTGGAATTAAATATTAGCTGATTATAAGTCATTCAGATTGTACCCAACAGGTCGCTGTTTCAAGAGCATTGAATGGGATTGGCCTTGCATTAGTTGCACCTGCCATCCAGTCCCTCGTCGCAGATTCAACAGATGACCATAACCGTGGTTTGGCTTTTGGATGGCTTCAAACGACTGGCAACTTAGGCTCCATTATTGGCGGGTTGTGTTCAATAATAATAGCTCCAATAACAATTATGGGAATCCCTGGTTGGAGAATTGCATTTCATCTTGTTGGACTAATCAGTGTTGTTGTTGGCATTCTAGTCCGTCTCTTTGCACACGATCCACATTTTTCAGACAACGGCATGAAAACTGGTAATCGTATTCCACCCCATAATTCCTTTTGTTCTGGAGTCAAGGACTTGGTACAGGAATCAAAATCAGTTATAAGGATTCCATCCTTTCAGATCATAGTAGCGCAGGGTGTCACAGGTTCATTTCCCTGGTCAGCCTTGTCATTTGCAACAATGTGGTTGGAACTCAAGGGCTTCTCCCATGAGAAGACTGCTTTTCTGATGGGCCTGTTTGTGATTGGAAACTCTCTTGGAGGCTTGTTTGGAGGTAAAATGGGAGATATCCTCTCCACACGTTTCCCAGATTCCGGGAGGATTATTCTGGCACAAATCAGCTCAGCGTCAGGCATTCCTCTAGCTGCAGTTCTTCTGCTCTTCTTGCCGGATGGCCCATTTACAGCAGTTCTCCATGGACTAGTCTTGCTCATTGTGGGGTTTTTCATTTCTTGGAATGCTCCAGCTACAAATAAGTAAGTGTCATACTTACTGCCATCATCTATCTCAGTCTATGAGGAATCCAGGTGGGACAATTACTTGGAAACTGAAAAGACAATATCTAGTTTTCCTTCGAAAATTAGTTAATAAGCAATTCTTCCTTCGAACAATAGGTTTTCGCCAAAACTAAAAGATTCCTATTTGGTAGTTTTGGCTCACAAGGAAACTAGTCTTGCCTAGAATCTGGAAGGACCAATGTGTTTTGATTTATGAGAAAACAAATACATCCTAGAGGATAATTACCATCATTAGTGATGATAGGATAGATGTCATTTACTTATGAACGATATCTAGAAAAATGCACATCAAGCAGAGAATGTTAATACAGCCTTATAGAATTTGTTGACGTGTATGTTACTCATGATTCAAGCATGAAAGAAGCAGATATGCAATATTGACTTCAAATTATGATTTGAATTGTTTTTTTGCAGTCCTATTTTTGCAGAAATAGTTCCCGAAAAATCTCGGACAAGTGTCTATGCTTTAGATCGATCTTTGGAATCTATTTTGTCATCATTTGCTCCTCCTATTGTTGGGATTCTGGCTCAGCATGTCTATGGATATAAGCCCGTTAAGAGAGGATCTAGTGAGACTGAAGAGATTGGCACAGATAGGGGGAATGCAGCATCATTAGCCCGGGCATTATACACAGCAATAGGAATTCCATTGGCTCTCTGTTGTTTTATATACTCGTTTCTGTATTGCACTTATCCAAGAGATAGAGAACGAGCACGTATGGAAGTTTTAATTGAATCAGAGATGCAACAAATAACTTCTGAATGGCCAACTTCAGGTTCTCCATTCTCTCAAGTTCATTTATCAGAGTCAGGTGAGCTACATTCTAGAGACAGAGAAGTCATTGATATGGACTATAAAGAAGAGGATGATCTAGATTTCGATGATGACGAAAAGACAGCCCTTTATAGCCAGTGGACAATTTCAAATTTTCTCAAACAATAGCCTTCCGAGGGAATGTACTCTGTTATGTATTTTCTGAGACCAGAAAAGCTACTCCATTTCACGTACTGGGCTTCAATCTTGATGGTCGGGAAGTATTATAATTTTTATTTATGGAATTCTCTGCAATTCAAAACAGAAGATGAGTGCTCTTGCAGTTTTTACATGCGTATGTTCAACCAAATTTGTACAGTGGAATCAAACTCGTCTCCTCATATTGGTGTAACACAGTCGCTATTCTTATTTGTTTTCGCCATTGGAAGGAATATAAAATGTGTTATATATTTACTAAGTTCTTGTTTATACAACGTGATTGGGTAAGTTCATAATAAGCTCTTTGCCAAGCTTTTCTTGTAGGCGTGTCTGATTCCTACTAACAGAAGTTAAAGTTGTGCAGATGGCATCAGATCGGATACATTCGTTCTCTGTTATTTATTCATGTTCCATAATATATACTGGTTCTTTACAAAACCTGATAAGTCCTACATTATCTTTATTGGTATGAGGCCTTTTGGAAACCCAAAAGTAAAGCCATATGAGTTTATGCTCAAAGTTGACAATATCATATCATCGTAGAGGATCGTGCTAAGTGGAATTCTTCCCATGGGTTGAAGTATCTCTTCCTCTCTCTTCCTAAATTCACATTCTCATTTTGGTTTTTATCCTTGCCACACCACACAAGTGAGTTTTTTTAGTTCCCATCGATAATTCAATGCTGAGTAATATAATGCTGGTATATATTACTCGTATGCAACAATTTATATAATTTTGATGGTTTTGTATCAATTTGATTCCTTATATGGTAAAGTAGCATGGAATACAACAAAATAGGGTAGCTTAGCAATATAAGGTTGGGGTGGGTAGATGAAAAATTCGGCTTAAAAATGTATTAGAACCCTTCTATCCTTATAGGGCGTAGCGATTGAGAGGGATGGTTGAGAATTTTCTTTGTGGTTGAGAATTTTCTTTGTAATGGGGACTACTTGCACCTAGACAGAAAGACTTTATAAAGCTTCACTGTTTCTTGGGATTGGAATTCAAGGCGAGCTCTGTAAGGGACTTTAGCATCTCTATCTGAGACTTTGAGAATGGTTTGATTGAGCCAATTATTGTGTCCGTATTGCTAGTACAGCTTGAGCTGGTTGAGTCAACATATTGGAAGTGACTGGAGTGGATGTACACCAACATATATTAGTCTTAAGTCTATAATCTTTCATTTGTTTTGTTCATCAATTTGTTGGCTTTGCTATCTGCTGGTTTTATTGAATGTTCTCTGGAATTTTGTTGGGTGCTTTGTGTTGTTTTTGACTTGTTGCCAAAGAGGTCATTTTATGTACAGGACTTGTGAAGGCTGTAAAATATTGGATGATTGTCACAATTGCAAGTGAATCCATTCAGTATGTCAATGGAAACCGTGAACAAAACAGAATGTAAAATTTAATTAAAATAATAAATAATGCCTCATCAATAAGCTGGAATAGCTCAGTTGGTTAGAGCGTGTGGCTGTTAACCACAAGGTCGGAGGTTCAAACCCTCCTTCTAGCGTTTTTATGTAACATTTTCTTTTCTTTTCCTTCTTTTGCGTTCTCATTAGACTTTCAATTTCTGAAAGCTGGAAAAGCTGCTAGAGCGTAGTTAAAAGGTTTAAGCCTTTTTTTTTTTTTTTTTTAATAGCATTTCTTACATATTTTTGGTTAAAATATTATTTTGGTATTTTTGTTTGAGTGGCTAGTAATTTAATAAATTTTATATTTAGTTTTTAAATTTAATAAATTTTGTATTCTCTCCGGTGACTTATTTTCAAAAATTATAAAAGGAATGTTAATAGAGATTAAAATGTTTTTTTTAATAATAATAAAAAAAAAGGTTTGCAATAAATTGACAGTTATAACTATTTTTAATATTTATATTATTAAAAATGTAGGGATTGAAATTGAACATTTGAAAGTGCATAAACGAAAATTATAAAACAACAAAATACATAAGTAAACATGCTGGAATAGCTCAGTTGGTTAGAGCATGTGGCTGTTAACCACAAGGTCGGAGGTTCAAACCCTCTTTCTAGCGTTGGTAATACTTTTACCTATCTTTTTTTTAATAAAATATTTCATTTTCAATATTTGTAAGTTAAATTTACCAACAAAACTGATAACAAACGCTGGAATAGCTCAGTTGGTTAGAGCGTGTGGCTGTTAACCACAAGGTCGGAGGTTCAAGCCCTCCTTCTAGCGTTATTCCCTTTTATTTTATTTTTTAAAAAAAATCCCTTTTCTGCAATTGGTCATTTTCTTTTAGGTCACAGAAGGTATAAAGCAAATATATGGATAAATTATATTACAACCAGATGTAGGACAACCAGCAGCCAACATACATAAAACATCAACTTTTGAGAAGTTCTGAATGCTAAAAAAGAAAAAAAAAATATATATACATATATATATTATAATAAAACCAGAGGACTGGAAACCACAACCCAAATGTTCAGCTGCGTTTTCTAGCAGAGAACATTACAAACCTCCTATTTCTTAAACATCTAAAGTCGACCATACCACAGGCCGTGCAGAGTTCTTCTAATTCACGTTCAGATAGAACGATGTGGCCCCCTATTGTCTTCTTTGCAATCTGTGCGGAGAGAGGTGCACAATACACACAATGCAAAGTTTAAGGATTAACTACTAAGGTAAGAGGCAAAAACAGTAACAAAAAACCAGAATTTGGATGCAACGTTGCAGCATTAAGCAATGGTAAACACTTCGTGTTGTATGATGTTTAGTCATGAATTATAATTTACTATATATAGAATATTTGATCTTTTATTACAGGCAAATATCTTCCATTACGACTCACGTAGTTATCATACAAATATTTTGTATCCATTTATTGCTCTTCCTATATCTTTTTGTAATTTATTTGATTTTTTAAATGATTATAAATAGAGAACTTTTACACTACTTAGGTGGAGCGATTTCGAAGAGTGAAAAGTGTATATATATAATGAACTGAAGTAATCAAACTACCTAAGCATCCAAGGAGAATCCCAGAAGTTGTAGAGGGGAAAATTAAAACAAATTGCGAATATACCTCTATTTGAGTCCCCAAAAATGGCATAAAAGAAAATGGTCCATCGATTATGTAAGTGCTCCCAACAAATACTCCTCCGGGTTTTAAAATTCTACTTATTTCAGCCACCTGCAAGACCATTCTGGACACAGTTAATCACAAAAGCATATCCGTTGATTAGTTTAGTGAGATGAATCTGTGGTACAATTATAGGTATATGTTGGTGCCAGTAATATACACATTTAACAATCATACAAGCGAAGTAAAGAGAAGTAAAATATATTTTCTTTGAAGATGAGTAATCATATCACTATAGTAAAAAGCCAATAACCATCAACAAACTGCAGCTTGTGCAGTGTGTTTTTCATTAGTGCAACTATGAAACGTCAAATCACAACCTATAACCCCCAGATACAGATGAAAAATACTCACAGCAGCTGATGGTGAAGGCCAGCAGTGTAAAGCAGCACCAGCATGCACTGCATCAATAGAACTTGAAGCAAATGGAAGCCGAGCAATATCAGCTCTAATCAGAACCAAGCTCCTAAGAATGACAATTTTCATTTAGATTAAAAATTCAAACAACAATCTAAATATGCAACACAAAGATCCTTGAACTATAGCAATTCCACAACTACTAATGTAAAGCTAGAACTAAAAGAAAATATTGTTTACTCTTTGGGGAAGTTTTCCTCTTCTTTGATGAATGCATAACACTCCTTTAACATGTTCTCCGAGTAGTCCAATGCAACAACAGAAGAAAATAACCCACTCTTGGCAAAGATTCTTGAAAACATTCCGCTTCCACAACTTGCATCAATTATGTTTCCACCTAAGACTGGTGTGATGAAATTTTTTATAAACTCGAACTGCAATGAAATCAACATGTCCTTAGTATTGGGAACATGGTTACATCTTGAACTGATACCACTAGTAGTCTAGTAGGCGTGAAAACAGAGACACGTTAAAATCACTAATCTTTGCGGACCTCAACATTGTTATAGGGGTTGGCACTAGGGCCTCCTCTTCATCAGTAATAGAACACTCTAAAACAAAATACTAGACCTGCCTCTGACTTTGCATTGGTATTAATGGACTAATCCAGTTCCTAATGTTGAGCCTATACTTACATGCTGATATTACATAAAAAGTACCATGTAGGCAGTTTAATAACATGACAGATAAAAGAGCTGACATCACCTCCTTTTCTGGGCCTGGAAATCCAAGGATTGCTGAAAAACTTTGACGCCAGCCCCTCTCATACAGAAAAGACACCAATCTAGTCCTGATCCAGTGAAAAGCTGATAAACATGAGATGAGAAAAAAGGGGAAGGAGGCAACGAGGGAGAGGTATCACAAGTTCCAACCAAACACCCATAACTTCATTTGTTTCATTACAACTAAGACTAGCTAGCAACCAATATAATCCTAATTCCAATATGGCAAAAAGCAAAAATATTTCTGAAAATATCCCAGACCTCCATAAACCTCTGATAGGTACACCAATATGTCCCCGTGTATATTGGATTCCGTCAATTTTTATTGTAGCAATGGTGTCCCCGTGTATATGGCTTACCGAGCTTCTAGCTCTAAACAAAAATGCCTTTTAACATGAAGCATAAAGATCCATCACATGGAATTTGTAACAAAATTAATTTCTCTCAAGACCATGAAGCCTTTTGCATTTGAAAATTTTAGTAGCATGCTAATTAACTGCCCCTTCATAATACAAAGCAGATGAGAACATTGAAATACCGAAAAATCTCTGTGGTAGCAGGCATGGATTCTTCATTGTTAATTCCAGCGGATATCGTCAAGTCCAAGTGAGATTCACTGCCAGTGAATGACTTTTTACATGTGCCGCATTCCAATTGATATCCCTTTGTGGACTCCCTGTATCAAAAGCATATAAATGAAGACACATCAATTACTAAGACGCAATAGAAGAAATAAGAAAAGCAAAAATAGGTACAATACAGTTTCAAACATACACTGAAAGTCCCGAACCAGCTGCCGCAGTCAATGGGCCATAACATACGGAACAAGCTAAAATATTCTCAATGTTGTTGACTTCCTTATCAATCAAAACAGGGTCCTACGCAAAAACCAGAAGATCATTAGAGCTAGGAAAAAAGAATATTGCAATTCGGAAAGGTAAAGTTGACAGGTTAGGTCAACTTTCATTTTCCCAATAAATGCTTGTCACTCTTACGAGACACACATTTGACTAATTTAATCTTACCAAAGTATTCTTTAACATCCTTCTTTCATGAGGAATTAATGAACATGTAATCAAATAGACCTAGAACCAACTTCAAACTACACTTCCTCTCTCACTACCTGAAAACAATGATCTCAAACCTTGAAGAGGTTCCTGATAATGTTTCGTTACGCCGGGCTATATCTTCGGAAAGAAGTTTAGAATTGACGTAGTTGAATCACTCAAACTCTCAGTATAACTCAATCCAATTCAAATCCGCCTAGATTTTTCGCAACAAAACATATATATACGACGCCTCAATACACCATCGGCCATTTCATTTAGCATATATTATCTCATATCTTTTGCGATTCTCTCAAACACCAAGCAGAGGAAATTACAAACAGCTTCGACCGGAGCCTAATCATCCAGATTCCATTCTACACAATTCAATTTACAGAGCAAGCAAGAGAAGATAAGAGATAATACAAACCGATAGCTCGGTCCTAGTTTCCATGGAGGCAGCCGAAGTAGCTCGAACGGTTGAAACAGAAGTTCGATGAGAGATGGATAGGGCCGAATCGAACTCGAAGAAGCACCGCCGTGGGAAACAGGGTCGGGTGGGAAATGGAACGAAGACGAACATGTGCTTGCCAAGGAGTGCAGCCATCAAGTATGAACGAAGTTTACGTGTAATGCTCACAAATTCAAGGAGGATAAAATTTACATTCAATAAATAGCCTTAATTAAATAAATAAATAAATCATTTAAAATTTTATAATAATACCCTAATTCAGAACAAATTAAATGTAAACGAAAAGACAGATTTTGTTATGTTTGAATGAAAATGTTTTGCTTGTAACATAAATAAATAAAACATCGTCGACTAATTTAGGAAATAATTATGGATTTATAATAAAAAAAATATTATTTTTATTGAAATGAAGGTTTTTGGAGAAGTCCAAAACAAAACGATAAGAGGTTATGTTCAAAGTGCCATAGTGGAGAGTCGCGGTCGTCTAGGCTAACTTTATTTTATTTTATTTCATTTATTGATAATTATGGAAGGAAGGACAAAAAAAACTATATTCCCATATATGTTCATATATTGCCTTGTATGTTGGTTGGATTTTTATTTATTTTTAAATAAATGTAGTAAATATAGTTCTAATGGGTATGTATTTAGGTTGAATATTCAAATTTTTTGGGTTATAAATTGGGCATTAATGTTTTTATGTCTTATACGTCATTCATTAATTAAAACGTTAAAAAAAAATTTCTTAAAAAATTAAAAATAAATTTCATTTATAGTATTAATGTCTTTCGAGAAAAATAGTTCATTTATAACTCATAAATTATTTTCCTCTTCAATTTATGACGAACAATTACTCTTTTCTTTTCTTCTTAATTAGTAGTTTAGTTTTTCAATCTTTAAAACTCTTTAGTTTTTATTTTTTAGTTTAATATTTTTAAATATTAAAACTTTAAATATGAAAAACTCTTTAATTTTAGTATCCAAAGTTTCGGTTTGTTTGTAAGTTTATCATTTTCAATTCAAAATAACTTAAAAGAAAAAAGAAAAAAAAAAGCTATTTAGCGGTTGAAGTTTGTTGTATCTATGTTTAAAACGGCTTATAAATGAGAAAATTTTAAATTATTTTTATAAAAATTTTGATCTGTAAGAAGAGAGAAAAATATATGAAAAATTGGAGCAATTTTAGAGATTGAGAAATGAAAAATGAGATTTATAAGTGATTTTCACTTTATGGTCACTATCACTTTGTAATATTCAAAAGTGTCCTAATCCCTTAACCATTAACGAATAAGATAATCCTTTCTGGGTTGGGATTACTCAATTCATTTGAAATCAAACTCTAACCCACTTGGTTTCAGGCTATTAACAAATACGATAAGGCTTGAAATCTTCGATAACGGCCCAAACCTTCCGCTAACATATATGGTCTTTTTTGAGTTTTTCCCTTCCAACTTCTCAAGATTTCTTAAACGTGTCTGTTAGGGAGATGTTTCCACACTCTTATAAAGGATGCTTCGTTCTCTCCTCTAACCGATGTGGGATCTCATAATTCACTCCCCCTTCGAGGTCCAGCGTCCACGCTGGCACTCGCTCTGTTCTCCAATCGATACGGGACTCCCTAATCTCTCTCCTTTAGGGCCAGTATTCTTGTTGGTACACCGCCTAGTGTCCACCTCCTTCGGGACTTAGCCTTCTTACTGATACATCGCCCTGACTCTGATACCATTTGTAATGACTCAAGTCCACCGCCAATTCTTTGAGCTTTCCCTCGTGATTTTTTAAACACTTGTGCAATTCGTTCTCCTATGCAACTTGCTAAACTTAAAAGCAGATTTTTCAAACCGGAGCTTGGTGGGTTGCGACAGATCATTGCTGCTGCAGCAAGCTAAGGAAACTGTGGGGGCTTAAATGAAAGGGGAAGGACACACAAAGGCCGGTCGAGTAATACAAGAAGTCCAAGTTGAAAGAGAAGAGATCGTCAGGTGTAGTAGCAAACATTTAAGTGAATTCATGATGAGTTAATGAAGGCAGGTAGCCGAAACGAATCCCTTTTTCCATCTAACCATTTAATGACCTCACATTATCCCTTTCCAGTATAAAGAGTAAATCTCGTTCCTTCTGTAAACTCAGTTAAGTTTCTGTCTGTCCACAAAATTCCTCAGTATACACTTATATCTGCATTCAAATAACTCGACCACCTAAAAAACTCAATCAATCCAACCTAATTCAACCCAATTTCTACGGTTCGAGTTGGGTTATGAACTTATTTGGATTCGGTTGAATTCAAATAAATGAAAAACTTTCTCCTAAACCTAGATTGAGTTAAATGTAATTTCGGGAGGTGAGGGTGACAGGCGTTTTAATGGCATTGGTAGATATGCATATGGTGAGAGCTTTAAAAGTGTTATAGGTTTATTGAGTGAGCCAGCTGAGAAAGTTGGGAGTTACTGACTCTATTAAAGATGCCATAGCCATCAAAGACCTTCCTTCAACTACATCTCGACTTCCCACATTAATGGCTGCCATTCAACATACCCACCTTCCTCCTCCCCCCATGTCACCGCCTTCATAAATACATTACGAGATTATGGAGCTAATCCATATTTTTCCATTTTTCCTTTGGCCTTGCGCTCTGTTCATCAGATAATAACTCTTAATCAAAATTTGAGAGAGCTTGTGAACTTTATATCTCTATTTGGACGTTGGCCGGAGTTTTTCACCAATTTTTGGGAACTTTGACATAAATGCATACGTTAAACACCATCAAGATCAACCTTAAAGCCTGCCTCCAACTAGATTCTTCCTTGCACTTAAAGTTAACCCCCCATCCTCCATATTATATGTAGCCATTTTCACCCCTTTTTAACACACATACACCCACACACAGGGATCGGATAGATATCTCCTTCATTTCAGCCCTTTTCTCTCTGCAAATCCAAATGAAGAGAAAATGGGAAGACCCACAAGGAGAAACCTTCAATTCTCCCACTGATATTGAGCTCCAGCTCGAGACTCCATTACCTTTGGAGTGGCAACGATGTCTGGATATTCAGGTACTAAACTACTTTGTTCTGTTTTCTTCACTTTCTATATCAAGAACTATATATTTATACAACTTTCTATTTCGATGGTCATCTTTTTGTTTCACAGTCAGGACAGATATATTTCTATAATACCAAGACACAAAAGAGAACCTCAATGGATCCAAGAAGGAAATGGGAGGGTCCCAACAGTCTTGGAGGTGAGCCCTTGAGCTTGGACCTTGAGCTCAATCTGAATTGCCAATCTATCAGACACGGTGGTCAGACAAAGAAGAAGAGCGATGGGATTATGGGTGGTGGGTTGGGGAAGGGTTTGAAACAAGGAAATGGGTGTCCTCCATGGCTAAGATTTGAAGGAGGGCAGCAGCAAGAGATGGAGGCCAGAGTTTGCATGCAGTGTCACTTATTGGTTATGCTTTTGAAGTCCTCACCCACATGCCCCAATTGCAAATTCATACACCCAATAACAGACCTGCAAAGCCCTCCAACTACAACCTTCTTTATACCAAATTCTCTACCTACTAAGAGTAATCAAACCCACTCCTTAAAGAGTTTCTTCCCAAACCCTATTCAAAATCAAGTCTAATTGTGTTTTATTTATTGAGATTTAGTGTTTATATAGTGAGTTATCAGGGATGGTTAGAGGCAACCCTTTGTTTTTGGGAATATATGTAAATTATATGAGAAAGAATCATTTACATATCCATGCATGTTATTGCAGCTAAGATAATACAATTAAGTTAATTATCTTTAGCTATGGTTAATTTAATATTTCAATATCTTATTCATCATGAATGCAACACTTCAAAATTTAAAGCCAAGATTATCATCATCAGATGTAAAAGATATTTTTTCTTATCATCTATGACTTTAGAAACATATGCATTAATTAAAATGTATGTAAGAAGAATGATATATTTATGGTGTTCTATTGATTTCCAAGAGTTAAGTAAAATATAGTTGTACATTTATTCATATATCATAATGACAGCTACTTTGGAAACCCAATTAGTCATTTGTCTGACCTATAACATTTATAGTAGGTTCCACGAACCACACAACTTGAATGACTCTCTATTAATTTTGATAATATATCTAAAAGGACAACATTTTAGACTAAGAGGTTCGTAGAACCCCAGTTTACCGTCTGATAAATAGTGGTTGAACTATTGAATTGAGAGAGCAGTAAAAAAAAAAAAAAAAAAATTTATCCATACACCCAAATATTTTTATATCTTTTGGAGTAGCTTGAGTTATACATATGGTGTTTCAAAGATTTATATGATGTTTTAGAGTAATTTTTAGTACTCTTTTTAAATGTTATTGATATGGTTAGATAAATATATATTTCTGTTTGAGTTCCAAAAATAAGTATTATAACAGGTAGTAAGTAGGGTTCCGTACCAGTATTATATTGGATTTTCTCTCTCTATAAAACTGTTTTATTTTCAGTCTTATTTAGATTCAGGTAGTTGTTCTCATAATTTCTTTATTTTACTTTTTTCTTACATTTGTGTATAATTGTAGAAACATTTCTTAAAAATATATATATATATATATATATATATAAATAATAGGTTAGATAATTTTCTAAAGTTTGAAAACAAAATCCAAAATAATTCTTTAGAATTAAAATAATATGTTTGATTCTTAAACTTTTACATTCAAATTCGTAACAATTTAATTTTTATCGTACAAAATTTCATCAAAATCTGGTGACAACTTTTATTATATAACAATTTGGTGGTTATAGTTTATAAATATATTTGGACTCTATGTCTTGTTATATAATGAATCAAACTCTAGAAAAAAATTTCAATAAGTAGTATATACTATTTTTATCTAATATTTAACCAGCTGTTAAATGATATCTTATCTAGAAAAAAATTTCAATAAGTAGTATATACTATTTTTATCTAATATTTAACACGCTGTTAAATGATATCTTATTTTATTTTATTTTATGGGTATCATCCCATTGTATGAAATTTTCCTACACTCAAAAGATTAGTGTTAACCATAACATTTATGAGTATGTTTGGTTATGTCAATTATTTTTACGGATTATGTTCTCCATGTCTTAATCCATTTGTAACAAAATAGGTACTCCACAGTTGAGTGGAAAACATTCAAGCGAGGTATATGAATCACAGTAAGACCAAGGGACCACTGACCTGTCAACATAGAACTGTTTCCTGAGATGAGAAACATTCAAGTCCACACCCAATCTCAACAAAGCATACGCAGCATTCTCAGTCCTGTAAACATCCGCGGCGGCGAACTACACGTTTCAAAATGGACAAAAAAAATATATATGTATATGCTCATCATAAGCATAAGCACACAGATAACAATTCAATGAGATAAGCTGCATTGAGAAGATGAAACTTACGTTTCAAAAATATTGACACGTAAAGTTTGCCCTACCGTGTAATAGACCAAGTCAATTGTGAGAAAAACAATGAAGGCTCACCTTCTCAATTTCTCTGTCAATCCCCATGGCCGTCCGAGCTATAAGTTCAATTTCAATGGATGCAGTACCTGAAGGGAGAGGCAGTAACCAAGTGTCCCATGAGCCATGGCGTAGAAGAGGTACTGAAATGTTCATTTGAAACTTTGCTCGAATATGAAAATACAGGTTGTTGGTATATTTCAATCCAGATCTTGGCTGTCACTTACCTGCTCCGCGTAACTTGTTTAAGACCAACAATAATCTTAGACAACCAAAAGTGTTTCAACAGTACTTCCGAACACACTCAATCGTCCAACAATCATAAAGCTTGTGTTTTTTTCACTAACCCCATGTCCAAACTCCAATTGGAATTCTCTTTCCGGAGTAACTTCAATAAATTAGTGAAATTAGCTGAGTCTACTTCCTTGGTATACACTTTGCGAGACATGGACAAAGATAATGGATCCTTGTGAGCATAAGAGAAGCAAAGTCAAAGATCTTCCCTATCCCAATTTTGGAACTCATATAGTGTTTGGTATATTGGTATCCATTTCAAGATTCACGTCTTTGAATCTGACTTTAGGGAGAAACAAAATTGTAGCCACTTATAGAGGAAAAGCCAAATTGTTCTCTCCTTGGCGCGTGTTCAGACTAATTTTTGTGCTTGTGGTATATATCATTGTTACATTGTTATATTAGGGCAACTTTGGACCTTTTGGAGGTAAGGATCCCAAGATAAGAAGGATTTTTTAGAAATGTGCAAATTAGCGAGTTGTTCGGCACTACTAGGAAAAGAAAATGACATAAGGTTCACAAGACTTCAAATCTATTTGGACTTATCGGTACTTCCGCTTGTCTTCGGAGAAGGAATGTTAAGTCTGAAAATATAGTTTTGTGGACGGAATTCGTTCTAGAAATTTTTATTCCTTTTTAGGGTTTGAGAACAGCTTAACACGTTGGCTTAATTTTTTAGGTTAAAATTTTGCTTTGGATAACAAAAACAGCCAGATAAACATTAAATGCTGAAAATTCTACCAATCAGAAGAAAGAGAAATTAAATTTTCTTTGAAGAAAGCTGAAAACTAAAAAGTAAAAGCATTTTATTGAATATACCTTTAATCAAATGCATAAGGATCATCTGCATAGGGATTCAAGGACCCTTCCATAAACAAATCACCAATTTTTGAAGGACGTGATTCACCTCCACCCTTAATTGTCTACATAGAGAGTTGGGATAAAAAAAATGTTAATACAACATTTAGACGTCACAGCGTAAATAAGAAAATTTCTACCGAAAAATGTGATTCTCAGATATTTCATATTTCATAAAACCAAATTATTTGCATTAAAAAATACACACACAAACACGCAATTTATATAGTTTTTATCTAGTTGATACTAAAGAATTATTTGAAGTTAGCATGAATCAGCAACCAGCTAAGCCAACTGCAGTACACAAATCAGGAAAGGGAAAGATACCCAATAGGACATGGATCTAAGCCTTTTCTTGTACCTTGACAGGAACTCTGGGGGTGTTTCTTCTTGGAGTTTTATTATGTTTTCTCGGGTCCTGATATACATGAAGAACAGATTTAACCATTGCATAAGAATTCTGAGATGATAAAGTTTCTCTACATGTGCACGGTCCTATTGGTTCATCTTAGTGATCAGGTTCATACCTCAAACAGAACTGTACTTTTGGTTTTTCTTCTTTTAGTGATCGTCCTTCCATTTGTAGTTTCGACTTCATATTCATGGCGAGTAACCTGGCCAGCCATTAATTGAGTTTCACTATGCAGCGGAAGGCAAGTGTAAAAATATGTGGAAATTTTTGGAACTTCATATAATTCCCTTGAACTTCTATCAAGATATTAACGGTTCTATGCATTAATCTCGACAAGTCAGATAATGTGAAGTGCACATAATTTTAACATACAACGTACCTTCTTATGATGCTTAGGAATATTTGCAACACTTCCTGTGTTAATGTCCTCTACGGTCTTCAACAACTGTGATACCGGTGTTTGAGTGACTTGCAAGTAAGGTGATTCCTGTGAGAAGATATAAAGATGCAAAAGAATTTAAAATGTGGCTGATCAACAGACTTCGTTTCTGTCATATATCTATCAGCTGTCAGTGGCACCTCTTCATTTGCTGTTCTAATCAGAGCACGCTTGCTTTTTCGGGAACCACCAGAATCTCTCATCTTGATTGATGACATGGAGTAGTCCTGCATCATAAGTTATTAAATTATGAAGGATAAACTAAATTTGATATACGAAAATGAACAAGTACGAACTTTTAATACAAAGTGTGGGAGTAATCAAGGGATTTTGTGTTTGAATTTACACCTTGGATATCAGGAAATAAAATAATACACGGATAAAATTAAAAAAATTAAAAAAATTAAAAAGAAAATAAAACAAAACAAAATTAAAGAGTATTCGATGTCAATAATGGTGGATGATTAATTGACTCATTAGAGGGTATTTTTAACTTCAGGATTTAATGATTACAGTTCTAAAATTACATGAATTAAACTATTGTAAAGAACATAAGGATCAAAATGTAACAAACACTGAAGTGTGTGCAAGGACTAGAAATATATTTCAACATCCCTATTTTAATCCAAATGAAGTTCAATACGAAGAACTAGGATGCTTCTTTTAACAGTATAAAATTTTGAGAATGGAAAATAATGATCCAACAAGAATTAGTTTCGTGTATTGTACATAATATGAAAAGTCTGAAATGATCAACGGCACATAGATGATAGAATACAAATACTACAAGTTCAAATTACGAGAAAACTTCAGGGAGGGAAATGGCATGGAGTTGATTGGTAGTATCACGTGCGCACTCTTGCACATGGGACAGGAGATTACCTTCTTTGAATTCACTTCTTGGTCCTCTTGTAGCTTGTCACCCATCACTTTCCATTGCAATTGCAACAAAGTTCTCTGCCTGTCTTCCTGTGACATTTATGAGTAGATTAAGACATGAGCACGATACTTGATATTTATACCTGAGTTTGAGAGTACTTTGGTTTTTTGGAGATCCAATTCCTCTTGAAGTTTCCTACAATCATCTTCGTTTTGACATTTCAAGCCTTTCATCCGAGCCTCATGTTCATTTCTCAGTAACGTCAATATCTGGAACGTTATAAACTACTGAATTGTCAATTAATGATGCAAGTGCTGACAGAAACTAAAAAGTTGAATATATACATAACCTCTTTCAATTCGTTTTCAGCTTGAAGTTGAATAT